TATCCTATCCTATCCTATCCTATCCTATCCTATCCTATCCTATCCTATCCTATTCTGTTCTACCTCCAACACTCATTCCAGAGGGACACAGAACCATGACCTGCTGTGCCCTCTCCAGGGCTGCTTTCAAGCAACTTCCCCAAAATCAGTGAAACTTCCCATTGCTGAAAAAAAACCCTAGATCCATTATTTACCTCCCAGCTGGATTTGGGGCCCCACTGGGTCAGTGTCATGAGGCCCCAGGCGTTGCCTCCCCCAGTCCCTGACGCGGCCGGTTTGGCTCTTGCTCTGGCAGAGGTACGGAAGAAGGCGGACGGCAGCAAAAGTGAAATCTCGCAGGAGGACACGGCATCAGAGGCAGAGGTCAACACGGAGGAGCCACTGAACGGGGACGAGGGTGAGGAAGAGGGTCTGGCACGGGACGAGTGTGAAGATGAACTGGTAAGAGAGTTTGGGTAATACATCCCTCCAGCCGAAGGAGTTCAGTAGTGGACCACAGTTTTACTGGAACTTACTAATTCCCCAGAAAAATAGTTTTTCCTTCCTCAAAAGAAATTGTATTTAAATCCCATGATTGTTCACAGCTTGTTCTTTCAAACTCTTCTGTTGCTTGCAAAAGCTCTGACCCAGCAAATGCGTGTGGAGATGCTGAGGAAACACAGTTGGCTCTCAAAATCCAGACCACATTTATCCTTGATTTCACAACTAATTATTAATGGTTAAAACAAGTTGCTCTGCTTCCAAGGAATTCTCAGACGGATTGAAACACGTGGCAAAGACGGGCTGCGTCTTTGCAGTTACATTTCACTGAATTTCACTGATTTTTTAGAGTTGGAAGGGACCATAGAGATCATCTAATCCAACTCCGCTGCTGAAGCAGGATTGCCTAGAGCTAGAGCATGTTACTCAGGAGCATCCAGGTGGGGCTTGAAAATCTCCGAAGAAGGGGACTCCACACCCTCCCTGGGCAGCCTGTTCCAGGGCTCTGCCACCCTCACTGTGAAGAAGTTCTTCCTCATATTTGAGTGGAACCTCTTATGTTCCAACTTGTGCCCGTTGCCCCTCGTCCTCTCACTGGGAACCACTGAAAAGAGTCTGGCTCCCTCCTCCTTCAACCCTCCTTGAGACACTTGTCAGCATTGATAAGGTCTCCCCTCAGCCTTCTCTTCTCCAGGCTAAAGAGTCCCAGCTCTCTCAGTCTTTCTTCATAAGGGAGATGCTCCAATCCTTGAATCATCTTTGTTGCCCCTCGCTGGACTCTTTCCAGTAGTTCCCTGTCCCTCTTGAACTGGGGAGCCCAGAACTGGATGCAGGATTCCAGTTGTGGCCTCACCAGTGCAGAGCAGAGGGGGAGAATGACTTCCCTTGACCTGCTGGCTACACTCTTCCCTACGCAGCCCAGAATTAACTGCACTTTCCCAACCACGCGCGTTTGCAATGCCCTTTCATTTAGGTGGACACCAAATGGCATAAACCTAGTTATGAGCGAGCCAGGAGTGCCGTGCATGAAGCTGTACCTCCACGGCAAGGGAGACCTCGAGCACGGCTGGCCTGCTGTCACACACGCATCAGCCCCGTTGGTGTTGGTCCTGCCCCGAATAAGGACATCCCCAGTGAACCCAGTGAGCACATTTTAAATAAGGACACTCCCAGCGAGCCCAGTCAGCAAATGATGTGCCTGAAAAGCACCTGGGTGGGATCGCTGTTGGGTGCTCTGGTGGTGAGGGTGAAACACGGCACTCTATTGACAGTGGCAGCAATGTCACTTGTCCCAACTTAAGACTCCTCTGAGAACAGGATCAGCTCCAGACCCAGGCAAAGGGTAACAGGGTGGTGGGGTGGAAGGACATCTGTCCCCCTGTACTCAGCACTGGTGAGGCCTCACCTTGAGTACTGTGTCCAGTTTTGGGCCCCCTACCATAAAAAAGACATTGAGGTGCTGGAGCGGGTCCAGAGAAGGGCGACAAAGATGGTGAGGGGTCTGGAGAATAAGTCTTATGAGGAGAGGCTGAGGGAACTGGGGTTATTCAGCCTGGAGAAGAGGAGGCTGAGGGGAGACCTTCTCGCTCTCTCCAACTCCCTGAAAGGAGGGTGTAGAGAGGTGGGGGTCGGTCTCTTTTCTCAAGTCACAGGCGACAGGACAAGAGGAAATGGCCTCAAGTTGCGCCAGGGGAGGTTCAGGCTGGATATTAGGAAAAATTTTTTAACTGAAAGGGTTCTCAGGCATTGGAATGGGCTGCCCAGGGAGGTGGTTGAGGCCCCATCCCTGGAGGTGTTCAAAATACAGGTTGATGTAGTGCTGGGAGGTCTGGTTTAGTGATGATGCTTCTTGTTTGTTGTGTGGGTGTCTATTTTTTGTCAGTTAGGTTGACGGTTGGACAAGATGATCTTTAAGGTCCCTTCCAACCTAGAAGATTCTGTGATTCTGTGATTCTGTGACATCCCTGCTTGCTGCCTTCTCCTGGGAATCTGGGCTGGCTGGTTCCTCCCACAGAGGCTTGGGACACTTCGGGGCAGCCTGTGAGCCTGTCCTGGGTGTCCCCTGCTCTGCTTTTTCCCCTGGCACTGGTGGCAGCAGATGTGAAGGTGATGCTCAGCGTCCCTTTCTTCTTCCTCCCCCACTCATGGCTGGGGGGGACCCCACCATGTGGCACCTGTGCGGCGCTCTTCCTCCAGCCGAAAAGCTCCTCTAACTCAAAACACTTCCCAGCTTGTTTGTAGTCTTCTGCTCTGCCCCACCTCAGTCATGATGGATGAGGGATCTGAACGGGGTCTTTCAGCTGTCTGCGGCCACGTAGCTGAAGTCCGTGACTCCTGCTAAATCTAAGAAGAGATGATTTAAGGGGGAGAGGAGACATCATAACAGACGCTATAAAGAAGAAAGGCAAAAGCTGACCTCTCTCTTTATGTCAATTAGGGTAAGGAAGGCCAGGTTTGAATTTCATCAAGGGAAACAGATGGTAAAAATTAGGGGGAAACTTGCTGATGCTAATGATGATAAAGCAGCACACAGCCTGTCAACAAAAAAAATGTGGACTTTTGTGCCATTCGTGGGACAAGAAAACAGAGTGGGCGGACATCTGCTGGCAATGATTTAAGAAGAACTGGTCTTCATTAAGAGTAGATGAACAAAATGACTATTTCAGCTCCCTTCCATCTCTATTGTCTGGCCCTAAAGTGGCATTGAGATCAGAAATATTTTACTGTCAGTGTCAGGCAGGCTCACATGTGCTCAGCATGGGGGCAGGTTAGTGTGTGCAGCTCATCTGCGGGGATGTTCTCTCAAACACTGCGAGGTGACTCACAAAAGCCATCCTTTATATTTTGCTCCTGACCTTACAACACTGAAGAGTTTTGAAGCCTTTCCAGTTCCTGGGGAGTGACTCCTTTATCCCACATCTCTTTGGGTTACACTCATCAGTGTAGCCTTCACTGCATGCCATCCATGGACACGGTGCCTGCACCAGTCCCTGAAAACATTATCTAGCCTTGGCTCTGAGGGGCAGTGTTGGAGCTGGAGAAGGGTCAGGAGTCACTCAGATCTGATCTAGTAGTTATCTTATTGAGTTGTAATCAGTAAATTTAGGTATGTAAAACATTTAGTAAGTACAATTGGATTGGTGGTCAATACTCCACTAAACTTAACATTAGTATGGGATACACAGATGATTATCGTGTAAGCTCACTGTACTTACCTTAAATATTACATGCACATAAAAAATGTCACGTACCAACCCATGGATGCCTGGTGTCAGGTAAGGGCTCTCCTGGCCTCGAGGGGTGTCCTTGAAAGGTGTCCCTGTTCAAGGGGAGGTCACCACCACGAAGCCATGGAGGGAGAGCTCAATGGCCCCCGATGGCTGCAGGTATTTATCATGCAAAGTGGTTAATTTGTAGTCAGATTTTCTGCTGTGTTCATTCCGTTTTGGCTGCTTCTCAGCCCAGTCTCCAGCCAAACCAGGTTTTTTTGGGTGCTGGGTTCTCACTGATAACTTCACAAGAGGATTGACTTTGTTTAGGTTTGCTGGACCAAAGTCTAATTAGTTCAAACAGGAGGAAGGAATCCATTACAAGTGGGAAAGACATAGTTTACACAAGGCAGGAACCAGACCTGCCAACACTTTGGCAATAACCAGGACAGAAGGTTCCCTGCCACCAACCTCTTTCCCGTAGTGACAGTGGGGAAGATCCAGTTAGACTTGGGTCTGGTCCCACCCATACCCTGTAGACAACTGTAGGATGTCTCCTGGGGACCAGCAGGCCCAGACATCTCTGTTCATGGGGGGCTTCACTGAACCAGAGCTCATCCTACAGCTCCGCAGAGTGGTGTTAGCCCCAGCTGGGTGAGGGGGAGCATTTTAGACCCCAAGGGACTCAGACACACAGTTTCCACTGAAAGTCAACGGGAGCTGGGCAAATACTTCCTTTCAGCCCCACTTCCAGTGCAAAGTTGGCTGCCCTGGTTTTGTGCACAATTCTCTGCTTGGTCTTGGGGAGGTTTCCAACATCACCTGGGAAAATCAAGTCCAAAATACATGTTGCAGCCCAAAGGAAGAAGGACAGAGGGGGGTCCCCCTTCCCAGCATGAGTTTGTGCCCTTTTTGAAAAGGGTGGGCAGGAAAGGAGTTCTGCAGAGGAAGGATAAAGTACATAATTCTTTATTCCTAGACGCTCTGCCACTAGGCTCAGGGACCTGGAAGGCCAGAACACAGACAGACCACTGAAAGCAAAGAAGGAAAAAAACCAGCATTGAGTACCTTGGCCTTTTCCATGTGCTTTGTCACTAGGTCCCTGGGCACCCTGCCCCATTGAGCACTGGGTTTACGCTTTCCTCAGGCTTCGTGTTGCTGCTGGTGTACCTACAGATGCTCTTCTAACTCCATCGCTGCACACTGGAGGGATGGCTCTGTTCCTTCTGGGTGGCTCAGCTCTGCTTTCCATCTTCTAGGTTCTGCCTTTTTGTGTAGGAAAAAGCTTAGTAGGCAGTTTGCTGTTCATCCACACCCGTGCCCAACTGTCATCAGAATGGGCTGTTCTTGTGCTTCAAGGCAGGTGTCTTTAAAGATGACCCAGATGCCATGGCCTCCTTGGCCTCCGGAGCAGTCTCCCATGAGATTTTGCCAAGCAGATCCCTGAACAACCCAAAATCTGCTCTCTTAAGTTCAGAGATCTGATTCAGTTCTTTTATTTTGGTCAATTCTTTCAGGATACTCATTTTCACAGTCTTGAGGTCACTGCAGCCATCTCCAGCCTTCTCTCCATCTTCACGTATTTGACCAGCTCTTCTTTGGTCATCAGTAATAGTCCAGAAGAATATCTCCCTTACTCAGATGCTCAGTCAGCTGTGTCAAGAAGTTCTTCTTGACGCTCTCCAGAAATCTTCTGGGTTGCTTGCACCCAGCCCTGCTGTTGTCCCACCCGATGCCAGGATGGTTGAAGTCCCCCAGGAGTACAAAGCCCTGCGCTGAGGAGGCTTCCTCCAGCCACCCAAAGGAAACTTCGCATCAGGTGGTCTGTAGCAGATGCCTGACGTGATGTCACCCGTGTTGGTCTGTCCCCTGATCCTCACCCACAAGCTCTCAGCTGACTCATGGCCTGTTCCAAGGCAAATCCCTGTGCATCTGGGCTGTCCCTTTGCCCAGAGCACATGCCACTTGACCTGGATTTTCCGAAGAGCCTGTTCCCAGGGCACTACCTGTTCTGTGACTGCAGAGAAGGAGCCTTTGTTTTGTTGCCAGAACTTACAAGCCTCCAGACTTCTCTCTCGGGAGTCTCCATGCACAGCTCCATTGAGCACAGACTCCAGCTGTCTCTTCTTCATCCCTTGCAGTCCTCAGGCTATTCCCGTGTAGGATGTCTGCAAAGACCCCGTTGGTCTCCCTGATTATAAAAATCTATTTATCATCTCTTCCAGTGCCCCGTAAACCAGCTGCTGCCAACAAGGTTGGGCCTGGGCTCCCTGTCCTTTCTGTTCAGATTACCTAGTGTCCCCTGCAGAGGTCTCCTGGATCCATCTCCATCTCTAAAATATTCACCACAAAATTCACCCTGTGCAGGAAATGCAACAGTACTGCTGAGCAACTAGTTCTGTTACTGATGCTGCCCTGCAGGAGGGCTCCAGGAGGGGAACTTCACACGCTGTGCTTTCCAAACCACCCTCACCTGGGGAGGGGTTCAGCACGGTTATTGTGGCCTTTGGAGCAAGGAATATTATGAGTGTTATCATTCTGGATGATGAGTTCTGCTGCTGACTGGGACCAGTTTCTGTGTTCGACAGCAGAGTCGATGGTGCACAATTTGCCAGGGTGGACTGACGGCATCTCGGCATCACTGGGCAGTTCCAGTAATGCAGGAAAGCCTGTTCCCCAGTGTGGGCCGTTCCTAGGTCCCAAATTAACTTCTCAAAGTGCTAAAACAAGGCACGAGCTGTGCAAGCACAGGCAGTAAAGTTTATGGAAGTGCTGACACAATAACCCCATGCAGCACTACAGGCTGGGGGAAGTGTGGCTGGAGCTGCCTGGAGGAAAGAGACCTGGGGGTTCTAGTTGACAAACGGCTGAATATGAGCCGGCGTGTGCCCAGGGGGGCAAGAAAGCCAATGGCATCCTGGCTTGTATCAAAAATAGTGTGACCAGCAGAAGTAGGGAGGTGATTGTCCCCCTGTACTCGGCACTGGTGAGGCCACACCTGGAGTATTGTGTCCAGTTTTGGGCACCTCAATACAAGAGAGATCTCGAAGGTGCTGGAGCGAGTGCAGAGGAGGGCAACGAAACTGGTGAGGGGGCTGGAAAACAAATCGTATGAGGAGCGGCTGAAGGAGCTGGG